TCTTTCAAGAGAAAGTGACAGGTCAGACACTTGGAACTAGAATGTGGCATAACGGACTTTGGTACTTGGACTGAGAGGGAATGAACTCAGCTCTGACATCCATGATAGAAAATGCTGCGATTAGTGAATCTGTGAGGAATAGGGGTGTAAACGAGCCGAACACGAGCGAGCCATGCTCAATTCGTGTTCGGCTCGCTTTTTTTTTTCTATTTTGTGCTAATGAGCTACACATTCATGCAAATGGGCCTAATTTTATTCTAAGTATTGAGCAAAAAATATATTGAGGAAGAGCAAAATACTAAAATACTTGAACTATTATTTGAGCAAAAATTAAAAATTATTATTTATATTAAAACATCATTTGAATCTAATTTAATAATTTTTATTCTATTTTCTTAATCAATATTTTAATTGATTATAAATCTTTGTAGTCTTGTAGTAAATTAAATACTACTTAATATATAAAAACGAGCCGAACACGAACGAACACATCTTTGTTCGTGTTCGGCTCGTTAACTTATCGAACAAAATTAACGAGCCGAACACGAGCTTCTTAACGAGCCGAACACGAGCTGTTCACGAACAACGAGCCATTTTGACAGCCCTAGTGAGGAACATCGAGAATGTGCTATTACTACATCACAAACGTATTGGGCATCATAGTCTTAGTTTATTGAGACAGTTGTATCCATTTATATATGAAAAGACAAATAAGGAGAAACTGGTGTGTGATGCTTTTGAGTTTGACAAGCTCACTGGGCACTCTTATGTCAATTCTTGGAAGGGGAGCTCTGGTGTATTTGATTTGATACATTCTGATGTTTGGGTGTCTTGTTCTACTAGTTCTATGAATGATTATCATTATTTTGTTATGTTTATTGATTGCTTTTCTCGTGTTGCTTGGATATACGTCATGAAACAGAAGAGTGAGATAGTTACTTGCTTTAAAGATTTTCACAAGGCAATTCAGACCCAATATAAGACAGTTGTGAAAGCACTGATATCTGATAATGAGACATAATATATCAACAAAACATTTTTGGGACTATTTGTCAGCTTAAAGGATACAACATCAAACTTTGATGCCCATATACACCAACACAAAATAACATAGCAGAGATGAAGAATTGACATCTTCTAGAGGTAGCCCAGAGTATGGTGATGACAATGAATGTCTCACATCACTTATGGAGACAAACAGTGTTGACAACCGCTCAATTGATTAACATGGTGCCCTTAAGAGTGCTGGAGTGGAAGTCACATTGTTAGATGTTGAGAGGAGACAATGATGAGATCCTTTCATTGAAGGTATTTGGATATATATGCTTTGTCAAAGACAACTGACCATCTGTAGGGAAGTTGGATCTCAGAGCAGTGAAATGTGCGTCTGTGGGTTATTTTACTACTCAGAAGGGTTATGTCTATTGGAGCCCAATTGAGAAGATACTTTTTCTGAGTATGAATGTGTCATTCAGCGAGTTTGAATCATACTATATTCTGGAGTTGAGTTCAGCATTTGGTGACTCAACGAACACCGGAGAGATGAGACAAGAGAGATTGAGTGGTAGTGGTGATGGAGTGGTGCAAGTGAGAGCAATGACATGTCTTGTGATGTGAGTTTAATCATCTTAGGGGAGGGAAATTGAGGAGATCGGTCTCAGAGGTACACGGAAGAAGAAGCAAAATGAGGGAACAAAGTCTGCAGTGCCAACAAGTCTCTTGTCTAGTCTTACCCAACTCTCGAGACATCTACTCCATCTACCTTTGATTCAAAGCTCTCAGGTCAAATTATTCCTCATCCACCCACTCCTACCCCCTACATTAAGGAGAACTTCCCGCAGCAATGCGTGACATTCACTTGTTCTTTTTTGGTAGCAATTTGACATTGCAAACTTTATTTTTTATTCTAACATCTCACATTTGCATGGAGTATTCATTGCATCAGTGGATTCTATCTTTATACCCAAGTGTTGGCAGACTGCTAAAGAGGATCCCAATTGGAAAACAGTAATGCATGAAGAGCTTGGAGCTCTTGATAAAAATCGAACATGTGATATTGTAATGCTATCAACTGGGAAGAAGATAGTTGAATGCAAGTAGATCTTCACAGTAAAACTAACTTCAGAAGGGAATGTGGAGAGGTACAAAGCATGACTAGTGACAAAAAGGTACAGTCAAGTGTATGACATTGACTACGATGAAGCCTTTGCACCAGTGGCAAAAATGAGCACGATAAGGACACAAACTTCTCTGGCTGTGAATGGTGGACGGGGACTCCACCAACTAGATGTGAAGAATGATTCTCTTCATGGAGAGTTACTAGAGGAGGTATATATGGAGATGCCACCAGGATTCAGTACATCCTATATTGTGGGCAAGATCTGTAGGCTTAGGAAGTCACTGTATGACTTAACAACGTCTCTTCAAGCCTTGTTTAATAAGTTTAGAATGTTGATGGTTGGCATGGGATACCGACAGATCAATACAGACCACATGATGTTCTTTCGACAACATGAGAGTCTCACTACCATACTTGTCGTGTATGTGGATGACAAAATTATCATCGGTGATGATGAGACAGAGATTGCTCAATTGAAGGGAATATTGGGGAAGCAATTTGAGTTAAATGATCTGGGACAACTCAGATTGAGATTGAAGTGATCCATGCACCTGAGGGATGATTCTATCCCAGAGAAAAAAGATTACTGGATCTCCTCACAGAGACATTTATGCGGGGTTGCAAGCCTGCAGTCTCTCTAATTGATCGGAAGGTCAAGCTCAATACAGAGGCAGACAAATTAGTTGATCGTAAGAGGTACCAGAGACTAATGGACCGCCTGATCTATCTTTGTCACACTAGACCCGACATTTCATTTGCAGTATGTGTGGTGAGCCACTACATGCATGATCCAAGGAAGGTCGTATGGATGCAGTGTATCAGGTTCTGAGGTATATGAAGTGTGCATCAGAGAAAAGGATTGATATTCAGGACGAATTACATGTAGATATTGAGGATATTTGTGATTCTGACTGAACAAGTTGTGCTGATGACAGTCGATCAACATCAGGGTACTACGTATTTCTAGGTGGCAACTTGGTCTCGTGGAAGAGCAAGAAACAACCAGTTGTAGCAAGAACAACAACGGAGGCACAATACAAGATCATGACATTAGGAGTTGCGGAGATGATGTGGCTGAAAACCTCGTTGGTTGAACTCAAAATGGATCAGGGAATTCAAATAAAGTTGTGGTGTGACAACATGTTGACAATCAGCACTGCTAACAACCTGATGCAACAGGAGAGAACCAAACATGTGGAGATTGATATATTCTTCATCAAGGAGAGGCTGAATAACGGATTGTTGAAACTATGTTATATAGCTACTGGAGAGTGGGTGGTTGACTGCCTCACTAAAGGGTTTGGTTCAGTGGAGTTAGCTAGATTATGTGGCAAGATATGCTTAGTGAATGTCTTTTGCCAATCTTGAGGGTTAGTGTAGAGAGTTATGCGTAATAAGGGAGTTTGATTGGGTTTATTTGGTAAAATGTTGTGACCCATATTTAAACATATGCTAAATGAAATATCTAATGTTTGGCTTATTTACTTTCAATTCAAGTCAATGATTTCATCCATGACAGTGTATGCTTTTATCAGCCTGAGGTTGTTGGTTTTTAATTTGCGAGGGTTTGACGAAGTTGTGAACTTCATTTTCACATGTTTTATTTTTGAAGCGTAGGGGGGATTTGAGTGTTTATAATGTCAATTAAAAGTTTGGAGTGGGAGATATGTAAATAAAAATGTTTGGAGTGCTATGTTTGCCAACCCCTTTAAATTAATATTGCTAACTAATCCTTACATCTGAGGTAGCTTGGAGAATACCCTCATGTGATTTAATAATCTTATTTATTCCATCACAGGGGTTGACCACATCTTCATATGCATGGGTTTTACTTTGACAATCTCGTGCCTCCGCATCTTCACTTATATTTACTCTATTTACCTTCTCTCCTTGAATAATCAATAATAATACTTCATTGGCTTGGCCATCCGCTGTCCCATGTCCGATGGATTCTGGGGGAGTAAATGAATTGAGTTTGATTGTTTGTTTCCATACAATCTAGCTTGTCATGGAAATGTGGCAGCCATCATCTTTCAATGACTTTAAATGTCAAAGGCCTTTTGGATTACAATGAACTTTACGTCTACCATTGATTTACCATCCCATTATTATTCTATTTTCATCTGTGCGATATAAGGACCTTTTGTATTTGGGAGGTTCTGCCTTTCCTTTTAGTTTTTGTGGAGTTTGGTTCCTCAATTTTTCAAGTTTCTCCATTCTCCTCTCTTATAAATCAGTTTGATGGCTTCGTAGTTGGGGCAAGTAGAGAACGTGCCATTATTTGTATAGGTGGGGTTTGAACCTTAGCCACTCTGCCAACCTACTCTATATCAGGGAAGAAGATGACTTTAACTTCCTTTCCCATTACACAAGCTCCTCGTGTTTTCAAAAACATCAATACCGAAGTGGAGGATTTAAAATCATCCACATGAATACTATCGACCAAGAAGTTGCACCAAACTGCAAAATGCCCAAGATTATTTTTACTTGCATTACTTTGCTCAAGTCCGCTTTAATTTGACTGTTCTCTCCAATTACCCATAGGGACGTTATAATTGTCCAAATGGTTCATTCTTTTCCTTCGATGGAATCAATATATTTCTTCATTGCGGCTTCTTTTGATATGTTGATACATTCTAGTTATTAAAAATAGTTTGTATGCTTTCCGTTTTCTATGATTATTTTTCTGGTTAATAAAATGATGTGTAATACACGCGCAAAAGATATATGACATATTTCTTGTAGTTTTCTTTCACCTTTTTCGCTGATGAAGCTCTGTGAAATCTGCTATTTATTAGTTCGCCAAAATTTTCTAATATGAAAATTTCTATTTTGTATTTCTTGATATATTCCTTTTATTTAATTCGTTAATTTTTTCTAGGCAAGGGTGGTACATCCCGATAAAAATCCTGGAGATCCAACAGCTGCTCATAATTTTCAGGTCAATATGTGAAGTTTTCATTGTTATGTAGCTTACATTGTACTTTTGAATATGAATTGACTGCATGTTAAGTAAAAATCTTTTAAGTTATCCATGATGCTTTCCCTGTAATCTTTCTGATAAATGTTTACACTTGCTTGCACATATACATGCATCCAAAGACAGCCATGCATAATAAATCATCATTATTACTATCTGGGAATTGTTTTAATCAGATTGTACTAATTACTAAATTATTTTGAACTTTAAAAGTTATTAATTGAGTAAGGTATTCCTCTATTAGCAACCAGTTATCAACGCTGTTCTATCAATGAGACTTAATAATTGTTGGATTTTGGGGCATAATAGATTCATTATTTTAAAGTTTACACGATTTATAAGAGCTAGTTTTTGATCCATGAAGTAAATCATAGCCTTGTAGCTGAAGTTGTAAATGTATAATTAAAAATAGATTAATTGATAAACTTTGCTAACAGAATATATTAAAATATACCAGTCTGTGATATGGACTAATTTTCCTAACTCCTATTAGGTAAAGGCTCATTAAGGCATCTGCATCGCCAAGGATGTTAAAATTGAAGTATTTAATTCTCTTAAAGTGTTTTAAAGGCTATTTGGATTAATCGAGTATCGATATATTTACTTTTTTTGAATCTAAGCATGCAAATCTTCTTTAGTAAGAAGTGGGATTCTTTTCTCATTCCCATTAATTTTCATAGTGCAACCATTTTGATTCATGATTCTTCCTTAAAATGAAATTTACTAATCTTCTAGATGACATCATGTTGATAGATAAAAAACCATTTATTAAGGTCTTCTTACATCGAATATTCAATGATTTCATAATTTTTTCATCCTAGAATTCATTGAAGTTTTTTATAGAATTTGATGGGACCATCTAGGAGTAACTCTGTGTGCTGATTCTTTATTCATATTTTTAATCAAAATTAAATTAAATTATCTGTTAAAATCTATGTACAGATATCACAGTCGTCGTAAACAATATTTATTACCTACTACGGCAGACTTATTAGCTTATGTGACGAAATGATCATTAAATTACTTTCAAAGATGGAGAACTTAGCTTGCGTGGTTGATTTTTAATAATTTGAACAAGTCAATCACTATTTTTAATGAGTCTGATATGAACCTAGCGACACTTTTCAAGTCATATTAAAACATATTACAATTAGCCATGTAGATAAATTACTCCTCATGGTTGTGAGACTATTAACATTCTTTAGAAGAATATAATCCTTTCTAGCCGCACATTTTAAATTTTTCATTCAATTTTTGATTGTTTGATTCAAAATATCTAAGTCATTGTTATTATAAAAACAACCAAATGTTTCTTTTAGTTATTTAAAATGTCAACCCTTCGAATATTGAAAGAGTGAAAAATGTGTGTGTGACAAACTTTTATTCTACTAGAAGGATAATAGTACATGCGTACAAATTTGCACGCATGCACGCTTCTACTAGAAATTGGAGAAAAACTTGAATATCTCACCAATGTTTGCCACCTATATTATGGATTACAAAATATTTTTAGAATTTTGCTTACAAGTTGCATGCTTAAGCAAGATTTTTCTTTGTAATTGAGCTTTTCTTGAAAGTTGGATTTGTATCACGATATCAAAAACAAAAGTTGTATAAAACTTTTCCTTTATGCATTTACAAAATGAAACCTGTCTTCTAAAATAAGAGAAATGAGAGCATGTTGGTTGTTTACATTTATCAAAATAAACTCCTCTTGAACGGATAAGTGTGCACAACAATGTGCAATTATATTTCCATCTTTAGCTATGTGATGAACATAACTTGTTTGAACTGTGAGAGGAAAACAAATTTGTAATTGAACTTTTCCATTACTTGAAAAACTTTACCCTTTTGAAAAATGACAAATAAGATGCTAATGATAAATAAAGAATGAAACATGTCCTTGGATTTTCCATATTAAACCTTTTTATTTTTAATGATTATTAATGACACATTGGATTTGTTTGATCAGGCGACAATTGTGGATTTTGTAATTGAAACTTGCTGCGTTGTGAATGACACCTAGTTTTTATGTTCCTGTTTTGAGTATATTTGATTATCCATTTATTGCCGATGTCATTTTTGCATGCAGTTTATTCGTTCCTTCTATTTATACGGTGAATGGTGCCTGTTGATTCATATGGTTCTTTGTTTTTCTTAAGGCGCTAGGAGAGGCTTATCAAGTCCTTAGTGATCCCGCCAAGCGTGATGCTTATGACAAATATGGAAAGGAGGGTCTTCCTCAGTAAGCATAAAATCTTATTTTTGATTGTCATGATGGAATTATATGAGGTTTTATTTAGCATTTGAGATTTGAATAAATTTATCTCAGGGATAATATGATGGACCCCTCAGCAGTGTTTGGAATGATATTTGGAAGCGAATTCTTCGAGGATTATGTGGGACAACTTACATTAGCAACTGTAGCATCCGTGGAAGTTGAGGAATCTCTGTCGCCAATAGTTAGAAATCAAAAGATTCACGACAAGCTCAAGGTAATTTACATTTTGTTGAAATAAGAAAAAAACATAAGGCTTTTAGTTTTGTCCTTTGTTGTTCTTAGATTTTCTTAAAGTGATGCTAGCTAATCATTTGGAGAAAATTCTTGTTGTATTGGTGCATATAATTACTAGTATCCTTTTGAATCATTATAAGGCTCAATGTTATAAGAAAGAAATTCATCCCGTAAGTTTTTATAGCTATATAGTTTATGTTGAGTCTACTTTCTATGTTAGATGCCTGACAAGGAAAGTTCATGCTTCAAAGTGCAGGAGTTGCAAAGAGAAAGAGAGCAGAAGCTAATTCAAAATCTAAAGGGCCGTCTTCATACATATGTAATGGGACAAAAGGAGGAGTTTGTGAGATGGGCTAATACAGAAGCTCTTCGCCTCTCCAAAGCCGGTAAATCTCTTCATATTCATATGGGCAGTAATGCTCGTGTTTTTCTTTATGGTCTGTGCTTAGCAAAATAACAAATCTTAAAAGAAATGTCAATTATATTTCAAGATGTGCGAGTCATGCTCCCGTCAACCAGGATCTATCTACTGTAAATTTATGCTATCAAAACTAATATGCCTCTCTAATTTCATGATGAATTGTTTTTAAAAAGTGTCAAAATGGTCCTCTAACTCTTTGCATAGGAGTATTTTAGTCCCAGAGTCTATAAAAGTGTTAAGTTATACCTATATTTTTTTAATGGGGTTTAAAATTGTCTACTCTAGGGGCTATTTCAACCCATATTAAAAAATTATGGGGACTAATATGACATTTTTGTAGACTTTAGGACTAAAATTAATCCCATGTAAATAGTCAGGGGGCTATTTTGACATTTTCTTGGTTATTTTTATATCAATTTGTTGGCCATATTCAATTTTTTTTTTATCGATTGGGATCATCTTAATAAATGACATGAATGCCAAGTTGACTTTTGGTTGACAAAGCCTGACTTGATAGAATTGTTGAACATTTATTGTTTTGTAGGCGGGAAATGATCGATAACATACTTTGGACCTTTCCTAACTATTTCTTCTATCAAAAAGTTTGACATGTGCTCTTTTAGGGATTACATTTGTACACCCTTCCATTATATTCACTCCCACTTGGGTATTTTAGAGGTCAATAAATTATATTGAATTTTATAAATACGGCTTTTTAAACTTGTATATGAGTAGTTTTGCACGTATTACTTTCACAAGTCTTATGTTTTGTTTAGGCTAAATGAGCTATTTGTCATTGTTGTCTTTCTTAAGTTCATTGATGGTGAGTTTTTTGAAGCGTGCTTCATAGTCACTTGCTATTTTTTATCTTTTTCGTTCATTCAATTTATTTTATTGCTTTCAGCTTTTGGAGAGGCTATGCTGCATACCATTGGTTACATTTATAGAAGACAAGCTGCAAAGGAACTTGGAAAAAATATATTTTTTATGGGTGTGCCATTCATAGCTGAATGGGTGCGGGATAAGGGCCATCTTATCAAATCACAAGTAAATGCAGCATCAGGTAATTTTCTTGATTTCTTGGTTGAGTAATTATGATAAGAAAACATGCTTTCAAAAATTTATTTGATGTTAGATACCAAACGTTCACTTTTCAAATGTTAGGTGCCATCTCTTTGATTCAACTGCAAGAAAGTATGAAAAACTTGGATCAAAGTGAAAATATGGAAGAGGACTTCATGAAGAATATCACAGAAAAGAAAGATGCTATGGTTAATTCTCTATGGAAAATAAATGTTGTCGATATTGAGTCCACGCTTTCACATGTTTGTCAGGCTGTAAGCTCCTAAACACATTTTTTTTCTAAATGGTTTATGCGTTTGATGTTTGTTGGGGATTAAGGTAGATCACCTCTTAGAAAAATTTTCATGGTATGTTTACTTTAGGCATATGGAAAAATTAGGAAAACATTATTTGAAGTTGATGGAATGCGCGCTTAATTTCTTATAGTTTTGTTTGTTCTTCTTTTTATTTGTTTTCTACTATAATCATCCTATATACATGTAAATAGTCACTTTTATTCAGTGGATAATTCATCAGAAGACTTTTTGTCTACTAAGATTTTGTTGACTTTTTCATGCCTACCGCACCCAGCATGCAATAGCTCTCATCCTAGTGCGCGTGCACACACACACACGCACACACACCATCTTTGCATCTCCACACACAAGCATGAGACACCATCTTTTCATCTACCCACACAACCACTCTTGCTTGCATGCCAACACAAACCTCGACTGGTGGCTTTCTTTGCTCATGCTTTTGTGCTCGAACAATGCAGACGTTCTTGCTCCAATCACATGCTTGCTACTTCTCTTCCTTGTGTGCACTAGTGCTACTCCCAAATTCACTTGTTCACTGTTCCTTAAACTCATAATTATTTAATAACTTCTTATTCTTCCTATTTTAACTTTAAGTATCTCAGCACTAAAACATTGTTTGTTGGAGGCGTTGATGCCAACAATATGTATTAATTCATTATTGGTATTTACACTGCCCTTTTTTTACCACTACAACATATCATTCATAGTGTTTTTTTGGTCATCCGTCTTCAGACAAACCTCATTAGTATGTTTTTATCTCCTTATTCCTCTTCAAATTTGAATGTCTTGTCTCCAAATTGGGTAATTATTGTTTTATTTTTCCTTTTTACCTACTAGTCATTGTCACCATCATTTTGATTTTGTTCTCTAAAATATTTAAATATCAAATTTGGTTGCCTTTTGATTCAAGTATTTTTGCCAATTATCATTGATGATTATTCTAGTATTGTTTGGGGCACTTTAGTCAAATTTTTGATGTATGTTCTACATACATTTTTGTTTATTTGCATCAATTAAAACCTTCATTGCATTAACCAAACCTTATGCACTAACAATGCTCTGAAAATTTATGCAATCTCAGTAAAATCATATACACACTCTCAACTTAGTGTTACTTAAATGTCAATTTTTCATATGAATGTTTCTATTCTATTCTAGGGGTGTGTAATATTGACGGTATGTTTTCTCATTTAGTCCCATCCCATTTTCTCAATAACTTGTTGACTCTCTCTTCCCATTGCCAGTCAAAGTTTGTTTTCTCTGTCCCCAAGGATATTTGGGCTTGTCTGTTATGTTCATGCTTTTTGTTCATTGTATAATTCTCCAGTATTCTTGCACGACAAAAATAATTTTGATTTTATGTTCATATTACCTGACTTGCAAGCTTCGACCAATGTTTTCTTCCATTAAATCACTAACTTTTCCCTTCCTCTTCCTCTTCCTCCTCCTCCTCAAAGTTATATTCACATCCTATATTATGTTAATAATTACGTCCATATTATTAGATTTGTCTGAGTATCAACCTATTGATCTTACCCTATTCTCCACTTACAAGCAGTCCTACAAAAAGGTAACTATCAACATATAGCTAATCCTATTAACTCTTACATGACTTTGATCATCTCTGCTATTCTTTTAGTTTATTGGCCTTTTTCCTTTCATTTGTATCTATTCCAATAACATATCAAAAAACATTACCGAATACATCTGTAAAATTGGTTTCTATATATGGAATAATCCATTTCTGGTGGGTGCTCACAACAAAATTTTATTTCCATGATTCGATTTATTGACGCGAACTTGAATTAGTTGCCAAAGAAGTTTCTCAGGGTTATAAGATAAGACTAAATTTATACATATCCCCAATTGCTAGGCTTCATTCTATTTGAATTTTTTCTTAGTGACTATTTACAACAGAGGAATATGAGCAGTTCCTTTTTTTAAGATGTTCTTTAGGAGATTGTTTACACCGAGCAACCTTCTTGGTATGTTGCTTAGCGGGAGAACTGCTTCTATTTACTGGAGAAGATTATCTGAAGGCTTAAATATATTGTATGGGCTTGTTTGGATATATTTTTGAAGGTCTTTGCCATATTACCATTTTGGTTTTCATACTTGCCATTTTTGTTGATGAGAACTTCACTTGGAGTGATCATAAAAACATCTTAATTGTAAAATAATACCTACAAAAGTGTTTTATCACTAAATACATGGGTTTGATCGAATCAGTCATTGGATTTGAGTTTTCTTGCAACAAAAACTGTGCGTCACTATCTCAAAGTAAATAGGTTATTGATCTTTTTGAAGAAAATATTTTTCTTGGTTGCAAGCAAGTTCATACCCCCATGGAGACTTGGATCATGTTTGACGATAAAGTCCTATTGGAAGATCCATCTCAAGTGTCAGTGGTTATCTAAAAAAATTATTTATTTGATTCTTTACCAAATCTAATGTCTCGTTTGCTGTTAGAATTGTTAGCCAGCATATGCAAAATCTAAAACGAAAGCATTGTGATATGTTCCTCGTTTTTGCAGAAAATGTATTATCATATACCAAGATCTAGCACTTAAATGTTGAGGCTTTCTTTGATTTTGATTATGCCTATTATGTTGAAGATAACAATACATTTCAGAGTATCAAATCTCTTTTGAAGTAACCCATTCTCCTTGTAAAAGAATAAATTCTTTTGGCTAATCTAGTGTGGAGATTAAATAAATGATGTGGGTTAAAGTTTTTTTGGATGGATTTGATTTCTCCTTCAGTTAGCTAATGATACTGTATTGTGGCAATTTTTTCGCATCTATATTGCCATCAATCCTGCTTCTCATGAATTTATGAAATAATTAAAGTTGATTATGGTTTCATGTTGGATGTGCTTTCCAAGAAAATTTTTATTCATATTTCCAGTTAAAAATAATTTGCAAACATTTTCACCAAAGCTTTTGGGCATCTATCATTTTTTTGCTTGTATAAAAAACTGTAGCTAACAAGTATATATGCTCCAGTTTGAGGGGAGCGTTGACATATAGCACATTTAACAAAGGAGCATTAGGAGAAATTTATATTAAAAAAGCATCTAAGTTGTGGAAGGATGCTTTTATTTTCTCAAAATTGTGATCATTCTTCGTCTTGTATGTTTACTATTATATTCATCTTACAATTCAATTAGCAGTCACTTTTATTCATGAATAATAATTACATCAGAAGATTTTTTAATAAAGTTCAAAAATAGTCTCCTAATTATTTACATGGGTTTATTTTAGTCCTAAAATATATAAAAATATTAAATTAGTTCACATACTCTTTTAATGTTGGTTGAAATAGTCCTCATGGAGGATTATTTTAGCCTCTATTAAAAGAGCTTGAGGAATAAGTTGACATTTTTATAGACTCTATGACTAAAATTATCTCTTGCAAAGATTCGGAGGGCAGTTTTGACACCTTTTTCGAAGGTTTTCTATCAGCATCCACCTATTTTTTAACGTCTGCTCCATTTGTTTGATAACTCATTCTCCGGTTTTAGTTCAATTAGTTATATATATATATATATATATAGAAACAGGAATTTCTGCATATAATTTATTTATGTTTTTACAAAATTAATTATTTAAGTAGTTAAATAAAAAAATATACATCCCCTCTATGCAGGTCCTTAGAGAAAGCAATGTTTCCAAGGATGTTCTCAAATTGCGAGCCAAAGCACTAAAGAAGCTGGGAACAATATTTCAAGTACGTTTCTTTTCATCATTTAACATTTGGAAAATGTTTTCATCTTATATCGCTCATTAGATATTTTTGCCTTGAAAAAAGATATATCCGTTGTAACTGGAGACATTTAGAAGCTATACATTTTGCACAAATGTTTGTAATAAGAATTAGTGAAGGCATATTTCATGTCATCAATAATCGATATTCTCCTCATTGCTTCAGAAGTAATTTATACTCATTTTACCTGGAAAGCTAATTTCAAATTCTTCATTCTGCAGTTCTAAACAACTTAGAATTTCAACTAGAAAGTGCATTTTTCTTGAAACATTTACGCCCACATATTATTTATTTACGGATCTAAAATCTAAACTTCAATTTTTACATATATGCCACATTGCCTATGCATGAAAAGGTGTATTTCACTTTTTTAAAGTTAAAATAATGGTATTTTTTATGTGATATGAAAGGTTTGGGCGGTGTAAATGTAAAAAGCAAAGTTTAAGTGTTAGATATGTAAATACATAGGAATTTGGTGGTATGTCTGTAAATAGCCCCCCCCCTTTTTTTTCTCTTTCTTGTAATGATTCTGACGATTTTTTTCCCTTTTAGAATTCTAAATTCCTTTTTTCTTCACATAACTCTCAGGGTGTCAAATCTGTATACCGAAGGGAGAATAGTCTCCGTGTTGACCCCAGCGCCCAAAAATTTGATAATACAACCTAAAGGCTTTAAAGGTAATGCTTTATGATACAATGATGTTCAGTTAATTGATGACATCCTGGAAAACTCTGTATTACTTCTGATTTAAATGGTGCTTTTGTTTTATCAGCATTTGTATATTTTGCTTACATATTTCTTTATAAGGGGCTGTTTGGTTGCAATTTGCAAATATTTAGGATACATGTGTATCTTAAAAGTAGTGTAAATTAAATATGGTATATTATAATTGTTTCGACTTGTTTGGTTTGCTAAATAAATACAAGATGATATTTTTATTTTTGGGAAATTTAAATACATGCCACACAATTCTTATGTATTTATATATTTAACATTCAACGTTTAATAATTACATTTTTAATAACTTGGTTTCATAATCTATGCATGAAAATATATATTTTACTTTTAGAAAGATAGTGATGATGATATTTTTGATGTGATGTTACAGAATTGAGTGGTATGCATGTAAATATGAATGTTTAGTTGTTAGATATATAAACACATGATGGTCTGTTATGTATGTAAATGGCCTTTTATTTTTTTTTGTATCTTTAGTTGATTGTAAACTAAAGGCAAGAAAACAAAACTCTATATCAAAACTTGAGGGTTTGCAGCCATAGAGAAAGGGGAGTTGGAGCCAAAACTTGAGTTGTACTGATCTCGAGAACAGGACGAAATTGTTACTGAGATTGTGCCATATTGTTGCAATTTTTTTTAGCACTAGATCAAATGTGCAAGGTTTGATTTCAAAATTAGGATTAAATGCTTTTAGGTTCTTTGAGTAGTGGTATCATTTTTAAATTCTCTTTAATCATCAAGGTGATTTTACAACATAGGCCTACTGAAGCTCTTAAAATTTTTAATTATTCTATCATTTTTAGTGAAGATTTTTAGGTCTTTTAATAACAAGCAAGTCCATGTCACACATGGGCAAGATAATGATATGATCACAAATAGGTGGCCTATTAGTGGACAGTAGTGGGCCTTTGTATGTTACACTCATGGTCAATAATCCAGGTCACCTGATAAAGAATCAAAAGATTAGGAATATGTGTGTAATAAAGATCGACAACCAAAGTTTTATAGGAGTGGATCACTCCCTCATGGGGTAAGTTAGAATAGTTGAATTATTAATTTTACATGAGGGTGAAAAATTATAATAGGTCATTTGTAATGCATGTCCAATGTATGCAATCAAAAGAACATAATGGACATTGAGTTTGACTATAAAACCAATGGGCCGTAAAAATGTTGGCCTAAAACCAACTAGGACAAATCATAGCCTTGGGTGAATTGAAACATCAACACTACCGGAGAATATCTTTTTAATGGGAAAAAAAACATTATACCTCAATGCCACAATTTTGTTACATCGAAGATGATGGTTTCTCTTGTGGATTCTAAATATGACATTGATTTTGGTTGATTGATTACTGATGGGGATGCTACTAAGTTCGGTTGAAGGGGAAACAATTTATAGTTGCTAGCCATTCAGAGGATGAAGATGATTATAAATGTGGTTGAATCTTTTTTGTTGGCCCTATTAAGTGGTGAATACAAAAAAAGTCAGTTAGTTGCCTCAAGGGCAACAACTATAAGAGCATTGCGAGGATAAATCTAAGGATAATGGGGGATCTAAAAAGTTTTACTTTTGCAAAGCATTGACCAATGGTAAACGAGTTTCTTTGGAGCCCTATTGTAATAGGCAAAGTGTAAGCACTAAGGAATGAGGGATATTATGACTTAGGGTATGTTTGGGCAGGTGAAATTGTTTGTAGAAGTAGCTATGAAGCTGCTGCTAGAATAAACTGTTGTGAGGAATCTGCTGTTAGAAGAAATTGTTGCGAGGAAGCTACTACGATGGAAACAATATGTTTGTTTGGATAGTTCTATTGTGAATCTGCTGTGTTACCACTTACGACTATTTCTAAAATAAAGATTGTAATGCCCTTACGAAAAGTAGCTGTAAGTTCACCATTTTAGAAATAATTCAAACAAAACATCGAAATAAATTTTAGAATATTAAAGAAAGTCATAAGACTAATATATTATATTAAAAGTTATACATCAGTCAACATTGAATAACATGATAATTGAAATTATAAAACAAGTGATGCTATTATAATAGTAGTTTTCTTGTCCAAACGATCGAGCCATTTGATGCAATTTCTTTCCAAAGCAACTTTTCACACATGATCACTATCTGAAGTGGACTCCTCATAATTGTCAACTTGTAAAAAGCCACAATCTTAAAGCTATTTATTTTTGGTACACCATAAGATTTTCTCCCATAGTTTCTCATCGTAATGTAAATACTCAGCATTGTGTATGACAGTTGTAGTAGATTATTCTAGTATAAGTTGAAGTCTTTGAACTCATATTGCTTGAGAATGCAAAATTTATACATTCAATAAGAAATATAAAAGTGTTATGGCACATTGAAATATTATGAATTTATAAGATCAATTTTAATAATAAAATGAGTTGTATTGATGTTACAATGAGAAAGTAGAAGAAAAAATAATAAAAAAAAGTGAAAAAATGATATAATGAGAAAGTTACTAACATAATTTGGGCTTAAAGGCAATATAAAGAGATAAATAATTTGCCATTGTAATAAGGCAACAAACCCACAATGAAGGGGTTTTGTTTTGCCTTAAAGCACTTAATATTCAAATTGTATATGCAAAAAAAATATAGTTGTAGAAAGGCCATCCAAAAGAACCCTTTACGTCAGATCACTCATCATAGACCTCTAAAAAAATATCAATTCATAAACTCATGGTTGCCCAAGAGACCATCAAGGTGGGAGCAAATACAAGCATAGCAATGAAAAAAATTCAATTAGCAAACCCATGGTTGCCCAGGAGACCATTTGGGTGGGAGCAAACTCAACATGTTCATAACAATGAAAAAAATAATTAATAAACCATCGGTTGCCCATGATGCTATCCAAGTTGGAGCAAACTCGACGTGTTCATAACAATAAAGAAAAAAATAATTAACAAACTTACGGTAACCTATGAGGGCATCCAGGTTAGAGCAAACTTAACATGTTCATAGTAATGAAAAAATCAATTAACCCGTGGGTGTCCAACAGACCATCCTAGTGGGAGCAAACAAAAAAGTTTATAGTGTTTTACTGGCATCTCTGATCTTTTGCGTTGTTAAATATTTTTATTTGTGCTAACTATTTGATCAATCTCATTTCAATATAGTAAAACAACCGATGGGACAAATACAAAGACCAGTTGTACATTCATAGTTCATTAGAAGAACCTCTCAAGGAAAACGAGAAACAGTGATACAAAGATGAGTAGTAATGATCTTACATTACTTATAGTGATAAAATATCTCCAATTTGATCTCACCGCATGATCATCTCTTTTGCAACTTTCCCTTCTCGACATTGCGATTCTTCTGAAATTTGATTAGATTTTGATATAAGTTATCCTATTCTATACTAATGCCTCAGAAGAAATGTATGTTTGATCCTTGTCAAGTACATTAAATTTTGTATTATGGGAGCAAAGCCATTGTTGCTCCGATTATTTTAAATTATTTTTTTAAAGAATAAGCTGACATGTCTCTCAAAATAACACACTTCTTCAAGACATAAAAAAATATCAATCACCCCATGTAACGAGTGATACTTGTTAAAATTTCTTTCTTCCTTGAATTATTTGGCTTCTCTCAAATTAAAAAATATGCTATCTTGTTTTTGGATAAGACTTTATGAACTCTCACTGCATTTGATATCCAACATCACAAAATAGTATTTCCCTGTGTAAACATATTACTATTATGTAATTTTTTTTCATTAATTATTTATTTACATATTACCTGGAGGTGATATTGAAAAATTATGCTTTGAATTATGCATGAAAAATTTGAATATGGAACTGTCATGTGCACTCTCATCCCATCCAGATATAACGAAGGTGAAGCACATGTTGAGCTACACACTTCCATGATATTGAGTTGGTGAATCACATCGACCAATATATGACACAATTGTGCATTTTGGAACATAGACATTAACATGTACTACATCAATAGTTCCAATATATTTATGCTTAAAATAGGAGATCTTTATTTTTAAATAGTTTCTTTGTCCAAAAGTAGAAAAACATAGGCATGAAAGTGTACCTAAAAAATGGTATAATATAATGCATTTAAGCCTACAGAGAAGTCCCTAATAACTACTTTTGTTGAATGTTGGAACCGCTAGCATGCTGCAATATTAACTCATTATGAGATGATATATATTAAGTTATGCCTAGACCTTCTTTGATTGTTGTCCTAGAAGAATCCTGTAGATCATGGAAGGTTTCCAACACATGTAATTTGTCAAAAAATATTTCTCGTGACATGCAAAACATACAACAAAATCTCCCTAGATGCCCTTCTATTAAGTCTCCAATCCATTTGTCATCAATATATGATGATGTCGGACATGATAAATTACATAAAAGTGACTTATTATATTCATTTAGTAAATACACTGCGGTAATAATAATATTACGTCGTGGCTCTTCTTTGTTAATATTCATAACTGCAATCATAAATGTGTGTTGCAAAGATAGGAATGAAATTAAAATGTTTAAACCATAATGTTCATAGTTTACAATGAAAATAATAGGCAATTGTTCATAAATGCGAACATATAAAGTTCATACATCGTTTCTTTCAAAGAAGCGACGAAGTTAGTGAACCCTTCAATTAGAGAACATTGACATTAAAATCTCCCTCTTAATAGGTTCTTCAAGAAATTTAGTTGCAAAAAGGTAAAGAGACATGTAATTAAAATTTTCTTGAGTTTGATCAAGCACTCTAATATCATCGAACATAGCTGATGATGTCTTGACTATAATGGAGGACGGGGTCATGCTTGTGCATGCAGAGACTAGTTATGAAATTTATCCTTGAAAAAATCTTGCTCCTATCATTTTTTTATCCACAAGCATGTTTTGATGAAGATGGACATTTATGACTACTACTATTAGTTTTACTGATATTCAGGGACCATTGACATGAAAATCTCCCTCTTAATATTAGTTTCTTCAGGAAATTTAGTTGTAAACAGATAAGACAAGCATGTCATCAAAATTTTCTTGAGTTTGATCAAACACTTC